TTCTTCTAATTCTACGAACTCAGAATTCACTATCAGTCTCATTGGACTAAGGCTCATCTTGAGCCAATGGTGAGGGACACAGAGGAAATTCTAAAGCAAAGTAGTGGTGGAAATATTCTTTCCAAAAGGTGTAATCAACTTAAAAAGGTTTCTTCCCCCAGGTTTAAAAATAGTTTATCAGCACTATTAAGGTTTTTCCATTTAAAAAAATTGAGTATTATTTATATACATTAAAATTTACCCTTTTTAGTGCAAATTCTATGAGTTTCAAAAAATACATGGTTATATCATCACTACCATAATTAAGATATAGAACAGTTTCATAACCTCCCAAAATTCTCTTATCCTCCATTGTAGTCAAGCCTCCTCCTACACCCAGCCTCAGAAACCACTAATCGGTTTTCTCTCCCTTTAGTTTTGCCTGTTTGAGAATGTCGTACAGATGGAATCACACAGTATGTCACTTTTTGAATCTGGCTTTTCACTTAGTATAACAGCTGAAATTCACTCACTTTGTGAGTGTAAGTCGCTTGTTCCATCTCATAGCTGAGGACTAGCCCATTGTATCACACAGTGCCTATCCATTCACCAGATGATGGACATTTGGGTGGTTCCCAGTTTTTGGTGATTATGAATAAAATCACCATAGAAATCCACATATAGGCTTTTGTGTAAACACAGTTTTTATTTCACTCAGGTAAACACCTCAGAGTGGGCCTCCTGAGTCAGATGTTAACTAAATGTTTAAGGATCTGCCAAACTCTTTCCTTGAATGGCTACTCTACCATTTATTCCGAACAATATTGTGTGAGAGTCTTAATTGCTCCACTTGCCAGTTATTTTCAGTTGCGTCACTGTTGTTTAATTATAGCCATATAGTAGGTGTGCATTGGTATCTCGTTGTAGTTTTAATTTTTATTCTTCTACTACTGATGTTGAGCATAAAAGATGCTCTTTTATGTGCTTATCCACCATCCGTGCATCATCTTGGTAAATTGACAATTCAATAATTGGATTCAAACTATTCATTTAATGGCTAATGTGCATATAACATCCATATAGATTATTTCATTTGCTCTTTATGACTCTGAGAAGGAATTAGGGCAGGTATTGTTCCACTTTACAGATGATAAACTGAGGTTGAAAATGGTTACATGACTTCCCAAGTCCGTACCAGGGGGCAGAACTAGAGGTAAAAGCCACGTCTCCCAGTTGCCACTCTCTACCATGAGTTGCTGACTTGCTTCCTAAAAACAAGTAGGACAAATCTTGACTCAGCTGGAATGAACTGTCAGCTCAGGCTCCAAGTGACTGAGTGCCCCAGAAAAAATTATGGAAAGCCTGTCCTTCCCTGCTGTGTGACAGATGCTTCCAATCCCCTTACTTCAGCAAAACTTCCCCGGGCTTTAGTTCCCTTCTTTGGAGTCTCACAGTCTATTGAGCAAATCTCTGACTTCCTTGCCATCCTACCACCAGAGTAGAGATTCCTGCACTTTACTGGGGCTTTGAGAGACACTGCTTCTTCATGCAGTGGTTTTCAGACACACAGTGGTTTGCAGACTGTCTGTTAGAGCCTGGAGCATCTCAAGAAATGACCGAAAGGGCCCCTGTGGGTGGGAGTGAGGGTGGGTGGCAGGAAGCTTTGGGTCTTCCTTAACTAACCAAAGCAGTTCCATTTTTATCCGTTTTATATATTGGCCTTTCATTTAAAATTGTATTTGAGAAGGAGGATGTGTTGCTTTCAAACAAATTTGAAAACCACTGCCTCGAAGCTTGTCTTTAAATATTTGAGGGTAAGAAGGTCTCCAAGCATTATTCAGACACTAACACAAGCTTGAAATAAATGAACAAGCACATTTCTCATATTCTCTAATGCAGATTTTACTAATTCAAACTGATCCTTAGGTATCCCCACATTCCCAGACCAGTCTGGATTATCAAGATTTTTTAAAATATTAGAACACAGAGCTGAGTTTCCTAACCTGTGCTCCATGACATATCTCTCGTGAGTGATACCAAGATACTGACTCCTCTTAGCCCTTGGAGTGTTCAGAAAGGGTTTGGTATCTTCAGACCTTGATCATTTTCATGTTTACTCCAGTGCATTGTCTAAGTATCATCCTTTTCTATATGTGTACTGATAAGGAAAAGGTTGGAAAGCACTATTATTATAACAGAAAAATGTAGCAGTTATCCTGATTCTCACTTAGTAGCTGAGTGGTCCAGGAAAATTGCTTATTTTATCTACCTCTCAGTTTCCTAATCTTTGAAATGGGAGTAATTGCACCATAGTTTTTTTTGTTGTTTTTTGTTTTTTGTTTTTTGTTTTGAGACAGAGTCTTGCTCCGTTGCCAGGCTGGAGTACAGTGGCATGATCCCAGCTCACTGCAACCTTCACCTCCTGGGTTCAAGAGATTCTCCTTCCTCAGCCTCCTGAATAGCTGAGATTACAAGTATACACCACCAGGCCCAGCTAATTTTTGTATTTTTAGTAGAAGCAGTGTTTTGCCATCTCGGCCAAGCTGGTCTCGAACTCCTGACCTCAAGTGATCTGACCACCTTGGCCTCCCAAAGTGCTGGGATTACAGGTGTGAGCCACCGCACCTGGCCTCATAGCACCATAGTTCTTTGAACTATTATGAGGATTAAAAGGTAATGTACATGTGTGATGCACGCAGCACAGTTCCTAGTACATAGAAGACGTTCAGTAGATAGTAGCTCCATTGTTAACAGCCCCACCTATCCATGAGATTTGCCCTTTTGGCCATACAGGGAGCTAAAACTTGCCACAGATTCATTGCTGCACCTTTGATTATGCTTTCAAAGAATATAAAGGTGAAGCTTCAATAAGCAAATACCATAACCATTGTAAAAGTTATTAATGTTCATAACTTCTAGTTTACATCTCTGGTAATAAAAGTGAAACAAATGCATGTTTGAAGGCCATTGACGATGGCTCCTTGCTTGGAAACAATGCTTCAGAAAGAGCAGATGCAAAGTAAAATAATTTGTTCTGAACTTTTTAAAGTAGTTTTTTTGGTTTGTGTTTTGCTACAAAATCAGTCACCTTAGCAATGGCTGAACAGATACAAATGAACCTTTATAGTTTGAACACAATTCTTAAAAGGCTTTTCTTTTGAATACCAAATGACTTCACATTACTGTCCTTTGATCTACCCTAATCATTTTAGTAATTTCCTATAATATTCTAAATTAAAAGAAAGATTTCAATATAACCACACCAGTATTGGCTACCCCAGACAACTGAAGGTTGCAACAGGAAAGAGTTTTTAATAAGAAATGACACTAAATTCATCGGTCTTTTTACAGAATAATTCTAGTCATTTGAGCAGTAAAAGTATTTATGTCTCAAAGTGACTCAGTGTCTCTAGTACGGAGTATTTTCAATTCAATCCAGCTTCAAGGAATGTCACTGTGAAGATATTTTTTGAAGTAGATAGTACTATCCTGCCCTTAAGAAATCCAATTTTATTGTTAGCATTTTCACAGATCTAATCATAGTGACTGTCCCCCCAACCCCCTATGTCCAAGATTCAAACACAAATGGCATTTCACAGTCTCCATTAGGAATAATGACAGACCTGCTTCTGACACTCACTTTAGATGGAAGTTTCTGTTATACTGCCCCAGGAGAAGACATGAGCCCCCATCTCTCAATCAGACTGGCAGACAGTAAAGCCGTCCGTCCAGTGTCGGTGTTTCAGCTGAGTTGGTAGAACATTACCCAATTCCGAAAGCCATTCAATGACCCTTAGCTACCAGCTGTGTGGCCTTGAATACGTCACTTAAACTCTGTCTCCATTTTCTCATCTGTAAAATGTGTCAGTTTACTTGTATTAATATGAGTTAATACATTTCAAGACCTTCAAAGAGTGCCTGGCATCTAGTAAGTACCTCAATCAGTGTTAGCTACTGCCATTATTAATAGTATCAGTAGCAATAATGTTTCTATTGTCTTCCTGACCACGCTAATCCAAAAGGCAGTCCTTAGGCCCTGGTTTCAAGCTGTGTACTGAGAGTAGGAAGCCATCATAGGAACACTTATCCATGGCTTTCCGAAACACCCAGCCTGAAGCTGGACTCCCTGAGGCCTTTGGTGAGGTATGGGGCAGTAGACAAAGTTTCTTTCCTCACCTGCAGTCTCTGGCTCCCTTCTAAGGGTTTTCTTGATTATATTTTGTTACAAAAAGCAATCACCCAGTGGCTCACGCCTATAATCCCAGCACTTTGGGAGGCTGAGGCGGGCGGATCATGAGGTCAGGGGTTCCAGACCAGCCTGACCAACATGGTGATACCCAGTCTCTACTTAAAAATACAAAAATTAGCTGGGCATGGTGGTATACATCTGTAATCCCAGGTACTCGGGAGGCTGAGGCAGGAGAATTGCTTGAACCCGGGAGGCAGAGGTTGCAGTGAGCTGAGAGCATGCCATTGCACTTCAGCCTGGGCGACAGAGTGAGACTCTGTCTCAAAAAATAAATAAATAAAAGCAATCACCTTGGTGATGGTGGAACAGATACAAATGAACCATTATAGTTTGGGCACAAGCCTTAAAAGATTTTTCTTTCTCAACCTCTGTGTCTTCAGCACAGGATAAAATTAACTCACCCCTAAGGTGGGTTATGCTTTTGTCTTCTGTACAAATGTTTGCTGGAGATAAGAGCCACCTGGGAAAACCAGCAACACAGATACTTACTGCAGCAAGCCGTTTATTCCTATTGGGTCAGCTCTCTGGTTTTACCATCACTTTGGTTATATATCATAAAATAAATAAGATGTTGAAACACAATTTCTGTAGATGAGATTTTTTATCTCTGGCATATGAAGGAAACGAGTACATTTTATTTTTTAATATTGCTGGGCTCCTACAAGATAATTTAAGAGACCATACATCTTTTAACTCAAAAATAATGGCGTGTGTGTAATCTGTGTGTATATATACTGATATGTACTTATGGATTAATCAATCTGTTTTCTAGGAAAGATCCAAACTGGCTAGAACTGACAATAGGAAGGGTAAGAAACTTGATCCTAACTTAGGAGAGGGGCTTGCTTCTCCCACAGTGGAATATAAGATATTTAGGGTCTATTCTACCTGTGAGTTGTTGGAACATTCTCTGGCATGTTGGTTCATGACTTCCCAGGGACAGGGCTCCTTTAAGCAAAGCTATTACTGCATCATTAGAGTTCACAACGAGGGAAAGAACATCCCTAAAATTTCAGAATTTGACTTTGCTCCCCAGGAATCCGAGCTTCTCTTTGTCCCTCTCCATCCTAAGGGGCCTCTGATGAAAGCTGGGAACTCTCCCAATGTATTTCTGTGACTGGCTTCCTCCTTGTTCACTCTCCCCAAACTTAGTCTTTTCCCCTCCCGCTTCAAATACACATTCCTATTTCACCACCGTCCTCCCTCTCAAAACTGATCAAAGTTACAGACACAAACCTGTTTTTGACAGATTATACTTTAAATGAAAATCCTTTGCCCTGAAGTGTTTCCTCAAGTCAGCATTTGGTTTCAAGTCTTCCATTTCTATTCGTGGAATATATGTATTCACTCATCAAATATTCATCAAGCATTTATTTTTGTGTCAAACGCTATGCTAGTTATTAAGTATACTGTGATAAACAAGGCCAACATGGTCATTGCCCTCATGAAGCTTACAGCTAGCATTTGAGACTGATGTTTATCAAATAAGCAAGCAAAAGTATAATTACACATTATAATTACTACAAGGCAATAAAATCGAGAAGCTGGTGAGGAAGATGGAGTATCTACTGTGGACTGGAGTTCTCTGGGATGCTATTAAGAGTCCTGAAGGATGAAAAAGAACCTGCCATGTGAATAAGTCAACAATAATGTCCCAGAACAGAAAGTGAGCTTAGTGCATTTGAAGAACTGAACTAAGACCAGTGTGGGTAGAGAATAGGCAATGAGGGAAAATGAAGCTGGTGAGGCTGGCAGGGGCCAGATCATGCAGGCTTTTGTAGACTAGGTTAAATCATTTTGGATTTTGATCTAAGAGCAGTGGAGATCCATGGAGCATTCAATTTATGTCTCAAAGAGATTGTTGTAGATGTTATACAGATAATCACTGGAGGTTGGCAAGAGTAGAATGAAAGAAGAGTGGGTTCTTGTAGCCCCTGTGAGAAGTGATAGCTTGGCAGGCCAATCTCTTAGGTAGGATATTTAAGTTAGTTGCCCTGGGGAGGGTATGTGGTTCACAGTAGACTACACTTAACTTCTCTTTATGAATAGCACTGAAATTCGTTTTTGAAATTTCTGTCTTCAAGAGTATCCCCAAGGGTTTATGAAAGATGTCCACACTGGGGCCCTCTTTTAACCATGTCCTCAGCAGCCCACACTGGTTGTATCCTTCCAAGAAATCCCTATATTTTTAATGATGGTGGTGAAAGCGAAGGTGAAGATAAGTTGACAGAGTCCACACATATTTGAAAATAAGACTAATTTTTTTTTTAAATCTTGCAGGTGGGTTGTATCTGTGAAGTGAGGGAGAGAAAGGAATCAAGGATGACTCCAAGTGATGACTGTACCATTCACCAAGATGGGGAAATAAGGGAGAGAGTGCAGGATAGGCTTGGGAAGAAAAGATTTCTATCTGGACTTTGTGGGATCGAAGAAGCCAATGAACTATCCAAGTGGGCATTAAGAAGGCAGATGGATACACCAGTAGAGCTCAGCAGAAACATTTGGGAGTATTGTTGTATAAAGGCTACAATAATAATGAAAACCCCTAGGAGAGAATGCAGAGAAAGAAAACTACGTAAGACCAAGCCCTAAAGAGGTCAGGTAAAATCAGAGGAACCCGCAAAGTCAATTGAGGAGAAACTGCTGGAAGTAGGATAAAAAAGCAGAAGGGGGTATAGTGAGAGCCAAGAGTTCAGCTTGTTAATGGAAGTAGTCAGCTGTGTGAAAATGTGGTAAGACATAGTCATCCTTCAGTTTCCTCAGGGGATTGGTTCCTGGAACCCCACAGATATCAAAATGCCCAGATGCTCAAGTCCCTCATGTGAACTGGTGTAGTATTTGCATATAACCTACATACATCCTCCCATATACTTCAAATCATCTCTAGGTCACTTATAATACGTCACACAATGTAAGTGCTATGTAAACAGTTGCTATACTTTGTTTTTAATTTGTATTATCTTTAATTGTTGTATTGTTAGTTTATTTTTTTTCCCAAATATTTTCCATCCTCAGGTGGTTGAATTCACAGATGTAGAACTTGCAGATGTGGAGGGCCAACTCTATACAGAGTCCTCTGGATTTCACAACAGAAAGGTCGTTGGCAGCCTGGACTAGAGCAGTTTCACCAGGGTGGTGGTGGAGAGGGCAGGCTGAGGAAGCCAGTTTGGAATGAAAGGCTTTTTCCTTTTGTAATTCAGCCACTAGGCCTGGGGACATTGGACAAAGGGGCTGCATAAATCCCAGCAGGCCAGATGTGGCTGATTTCATCCTTCTAGGATGGGTCTCTGTTATTTCTAATTGTAGTTAGAGCATCTCAGACATGAACAATGCTGTGTAGCACATTTTCCTTGGTAACCACCTCATAAATGAACATGATCACACACTTTAGCCAATGCCCAGGTCCAAAAAAGGAGAAAGGGAGGGGAGGCAGGCAGAGAAGGCAGGCGGGCAGGGGAGGGAGGCAGGCAG